TAGCGCTAAAAAAATTATTCATATTTATATATGTATTATAATTCTATTTTGATTCATTCCGTACCTTTTAATTAAATTTCTAATAGTTTTAAAAGTAATATCAAATCTATGTATTATAGATATTTAAAAATTAAATTTTTTTTTATATTCATTTTTATTAATGAAAAAAGTTTAACAAAATATTGCCACCTATTTTCATATTAATAAAAATTTACCTTTATATTATATTTTATTCTCATTATTGTATCCAAAATATTTACTAAATAGGTAAAAATTATATTATTTTAAGAAAAAATTAGGGGGAAGGACCTAGAAAAATAATATTTATTGAGAAGGATCTTAAAAATTATAATTATTTATAAGGACCAAATACTAAAATATAAATTTAAAAATATTAAAGTACCCTTAACTAAATCCCTACATTTTTTTTTATCATGCTTCCATTGAATAGATCTTTTTTAATTATCTCCCTAATTTGTACTAAAAAAATTTATAATCTTTTTCTTATCAATATTTATAAAAAAATTTATTGAAATCAAATCAAAATCATTTATTATTAAGCTAAAATATCTTACATATTTAAATACAATGAAATGAAATTATTCATCTACATGAACACCCTTAGCGAATAGTTAAATTTTATCGGTCTTTATTCTATTCCAATTGAAATTTTCTCTTTTTTTCAAACATCTCTTTCGTTGCTTTTAATTTAATAAATTGTTTCACCCATATATATATATTATAAATATGTTTAAATGTAAATAAACATATTTTACTTGATTTCATTAAATACAATTTAAATTTTTATAATTATTTTTCTTAACCTCGGTTTTTTAAAACAATAAATAATTAAATGAATAAAATTATTCAGATTTATTTTTATATCTGAAATTTTTCATTTATTTTAATAATTTTTTAATTGTTAGTTACTTTAATACCCACCTATCAAGATCGAGTAAAACAAAAAAAATTATGAAAATTGATAGCAAATATGGGGAAAAAAGTTAAAGCTATGAATTTTTTTCTTATATATTTATTTCCAAAAAAAAATCATATACTTAAAAGACACTCCTCTAGTTTTATTTATAAGACAGAGAGAGTGTAAATTTTGATCCTATATATAAGGCACTTGATATAATTTTTAATACAAACATACATAATTATCTTTATTAAGTTATTTGCACAGTTGGTACATTTTCTTCACTCCTTTATCCAATACTAAATGTCCTTCAATTTTGTCTTCTTCTTATGCTATTATTCCCGCATGTTCCACTTCTTCTATCTCTCTCTCTCTATTCATCTTTTCCACTCTCCCCTACTCATTCCTTTTGTTATTCACCTCTTCTACTCTCTTTTTTTTTCCTATGCCATTAGTTCTTTTCATACATAACAGATCTGACACTTCGAGAAAAAAATACTTGATGAAAATATACATTTTTGTGCTTGATTAATGTTACTTTTATAATCAAATTATGAGATAGTGGATGTGAAATTATTTCAACGGTTTTTTAATCTGTGTGAAATATACTAAAAGTGCCTTATAAATAGGACTAAATGGGTAATAGAGATCAAAACAAAATCTTGAAATCTTAAAACTATACAATAGAGGATTCTTACCAGCAAAATAAGAGGCACCTAAGAGTATAGATTTTTGAAATTGTTCAACCCACTACTTAGCACCTGGAGATTTAAAATAATAGTTTATCAAATAAAAAGAAGAAGAAAATCAAATTAAATATTATAATGACAAAATAAAAAATACATAAGAGAAATAACATACCCTTAGGGCCTCAACAGTAGTAAAAGTATGTGTCGAATGTTTGCAAGTAAGAGTAGAGAAACAGGACAGCAAAAGAATGGAGAAGGCTGGAGCAACTAATAAAACGAGAGAGTAGGATGATGAGAGAGAAGAGAGAAGTCTGAATATATGAAGTGGGAACACAAGCTCAACATGCGGAGGACTCAGATGCATTCATGGGCTACTGGCATAAGAGGAGATGCAAAATGTATAAGTAAAGCTCGGACGATTCAGACGCATTCATGGGCGTAAGAGGAGATGCAAAATATATAGCAAGCCACGACGCTACTGTAGCTTCACGGGCAAGGGAGATGAGAGGACTTAATATTCTTCCTAGCTTCAGACGCATGCAAAGAGTTCAATTGCTTTTTTAACTTAGACAAAAGTGGTTCTGAGATATTTATACGGGGAGAGGATGCTCATACGCATGGAAATAGGGAGAAAAGGACAAAAGTACTTTTTCTGAAGTTCATCACTCAAAGATGAACTTTACAAATTCATCTCTACCAGATGAATTTGCAAATTTTCCCACTTTATTGAAGAACTCATTCTGGGCAAGATGAAGTTTATAAATTCATCTCCTGGTGATGAATTTCAAGTATAGCATTTCGGTAATATCTTTCCGCACTGTAGCATTTTGGTATTTTATTTCACTGTTCATAGCATTTTGGTAAAAATCCCGTGATATACAAAACGATACAAAATGGTGATATACAAAACGATACAAAATAAAAATGTGAAATGATTGCTGCTTCGTAAGTCATAAAAATAGTTTTTTCTTCTTCCAAACGCGTCCCGCCAAATCCTATGTGGCTTTGTCTCTTAATGAGCATAAAACAATAAAGAGGATCAATGCCTGCACGTACACATGCATCTTAATGTGTACTTTAATTTTTAATTACATGCAAATATAGCACTTTAATTTTAAATTAGGGTACTGGATGCATTATAAATAATATTAAGAAATTAGATGCATAGTAAATAATTTGAAAAATAATATCTTAGAAGCTAATTTTACAGGCAAAAAAAGGAACACAATTTTGTGATGTGAAGAGAATCTTTTGTCCTTTTATGTTAAAAATCAAATCAACCATCGAGCTCCTTAAAATGAAAGCTCATTGTGCCTGTGCAAATTATTGACTCCGCGTAGGCAGTGTTATTGTAGAATTTTGCCTCTGCCAGTAAAAGCCCTCATCATATCCTAGCCAGCTCTTCTGGAAATCAAAGCTTAATTTTTAGGGAAATTTAATTGATATATACATCGTAACTTATTATTCATTCTTTTCTTCCAAGTGTCATCTATCTCTCGAGTTTAAGAATTATTCATTTGGTATGAAAAAAAAATGAAGGGGAGGGGAGGGGAAAAACTTTAAATAAGTTCGATTTGAAAAACTGAACAAGTAGGGTTATAAGTTTTTAATTAATTTTTATTACTCTTTCATCATACAATTTTCCTCTATTAAAATTTTATATCCCTATTTCTTCGATTTTTTAAATCAAATTCATTGAAATTTTCTCTCTCTTCTCGTTCTTTCTATTTTCTTTATACCAAACAGGGCAAGGGATTTGATTGAGAAAGCTTTTTGGTATTAACTCTACACCCAAAAAAAAAAAAAAACTTTACGCGACTGATGTTCAAACCATTAAAACTTTTCACCAAAAAAAAAACCATTAAAACTAATGCCTTTCAAAAATCACACGCCGATTTTACCTAATTAGGGAGAATTAAATGTTACGCTCTTAAATTATACTACCTCCGGTCCTTATTATAAGATCCTATTTGACTTTTTATTTGGTCCTAATTATAAGACCCCAATTCATTTTGTCTCCCATATTTATGCATTTTTTTCCAAGATAATCCTTCTAATAATGATAGTTCTAGCTAATATACTTAATTAGCAAGGATATTTTAGGAATGACAACACTTATTTAATTTATTACAAATAACTAACTTAACTTATTTCTTTAATTTTTTCAAATAAGTCAACTGGGTCTTATAATTAGGACCAGAGGTAGTACAATAGTTATATATATTTTTTATATTTAAATTTATAAAGTAATGCTTAATTATCTTTGGAATATCATAAAAATTAAATCTGTTATAAGTATGATTAAATCCACGTAACTTATCGCTGTATTCCATAGGATTCCCCAAGAATTTATTTAGCACAATCGGAACGTGGGCGTCTAACGAATTATTTGGCTAGATGAAACAAACTAAGTAAATAAACACAACGGATTTGGATTCTCTCTACCACCCCTCCCATTGTCTTTCCTTCTCACCGCCTTCTTTGTTTTCTTCACAGTCGTCGGATCAAAATCCCAATGGTTCAAATTTTTTTTATCTAAAATGATACTCCTCTGGTCCTAATTATAAGACCCAATTGACTTATTTGAGGAGATTAAGGAAGTAAGTTAAGTTGGTTATTTATAATAAATAAGTGTTGTTATTCCTAAAATATCCTTGCTAATTAAGTATATTGGCTAAAACTATCATTATTAGAAGGATTATCTTGGAAAAAAATGCATAAATATAAGAGACAAAATGGATTGGGTCTTATAATTAGGACTAAATAAAAAATCAAATTGGGTCTTATAATAAGGATCGGAGGAGTATTATATAATGTTAATTTTAGATCATTGAGATTTTGATCTGATGGTTGCAAAGAAAAAAAGACAGAAGAGAATGGGAAGGGCGGCGGAGAGGATCATCCCCCACAGTACACACGCCTCATCATTTGACAGGGAATTAGGAAATGACAACGTAGGGGACACGCGTGCATGGATTGAGCTGTTTCAAAGAAAGCATTTTTGTAATTTTGTCCCCTTCATATCTGATTCAGAGACATCAATTTCAAATCTTAATATGTGAAATAATTCCTGATTCGTAAATCATAAAAATGGTTTTTTTCCCCCCTTCCAAACGGGTCCCGCCGCCAAATCCTATTTGGCTTTGTCTCTAAATATATAATGAGTATAAAACAATAAAGAGGGTCAATGCCTGCATTTCCTCATGCATCTCGTGATTTGTCCTCTGTTATTAATTTTCTATTCAAACAGGCACGAGTTAAATAGTTTTCATATTTTATGGATTGACATGGATTAATTAAATATAATAAAAATTGGTGACTACTTGTGTATATAAGAACTCTGATCAACCCAAAGTGTATATCAAACCAGAGCGAGCAAAGAGAAGTGAGAAATTTTACTAAAAAAGCCAAACAATGTCTTCTTCTTCATCATCAGAATCTAACAATCTCCCACTGAAACCAATTCCGGGATCCTATGGCTCTCCATTCTTCGGAGCCATCGCAGACCGACGCGACTTCTTCTACAACCTCGGCCGCGAAAAGTTCTTCACTTCCAAAATCGAGAACTATCAATCCACGGTGTTCCGAACCAACATGCCTCCCGGTCCGTTCATCGCTTCCGATCCAAGAGTCGTCGCCGTCCTTGACGCCGTCAGCTTCCCCATCCTCTTTGATGTCTCCCAAGTGGAGAAACGCGACCTCTTCACCGGAACCTACATGCCGTCCACCGCCCTCACCGGCGGCTACCGCGTCTGCTCCTACCTTGACCCCTCCGAACCTAAGCACGCCCTCATCAAGCGCTTCCTTTTCTCCCTCCTCGCAGCTCGTCACGACAAGGTACATGTGCATGGCGCACGTCATTAAACACCACCATGAAATAAAAGTAACATTGCTTAACAGTATAACTATCAAGTCGACAGATATATATATACACACACACAGAAAATTTTTCATTTATTATATATCGATCTTAACAGTATAATTGCTCAAATTATTGTAAGTATATTTTGTTAGTTGATGAGTTGACGGCTTTCGTTAATTTTTAGGTACTGCCACTGCTTAAAAGCTCCTTGTACAAGATTTTTATGAAACTGGAACAAGATATCTCAGCTGAAGGCGAAGCAGACTTCAACACCATCAGCGACAACGAATCCTTCAACTTCGTGTTCAAGCTCTTTTGCGGGGTAGACCCGAACCAGACCAAGCTCGGGTCGAAGGGTCCAAAACTGATCCAGAACTGGCTGGTAGCTCAGCTCGCTCCTATTGTAACCCTAGGCCTTCCAAAATTCTTGAGCCTAGCTGAAGATCTCCTGCTTCACACCTTTCCCATTCCGCCCTTTCTGGTCAAGTCGGCCTACAACAAAGTCTACAACGCCGTTTCCGGGTCTGCGACGGAGGCACTGGACGAAGCGGTGCGTTTAGGGCTTCAAAGAGAAGAGGCGGCTCATAACTTGGTTTTTGTTTTAGGGTTCAACACCTTCGGAGGGGTCAAGGTTATGTTCCCCAGCATCATGAAGTGGGTCGGATTAGCCGGGGAGGGTCTACACAAGAAGCTCGCCGACGAGATCAGGACCGTCGTTAAAGCGGACGGGGGTCTTACACTTGGATCGTTGGACAAGATGACTTTGACAAAATCAGTGGTGTGGGAGGCTCTGAGGATTGAGCCGCCGGTTCCGTTCCAGTACGCGAAGGCCAAGAAGGATATCATGATCCAGAGCCATGACGCGAGGTTTGAGATCAAGAAAGGAGAGATGATATTCGGGTATCAGCCGTTGGCAACGAGGGACCCGAAGGTGTTTGAGAGGGCAGATGTGTTCGTGGCAGATAGGTTTGTGGGGGAAGAAGGGGAGAAACTGTTGAAGTACGTGTGCTGGTCGAATGGGCGCGAAAAAGAGGATCCAAGCACCGAGAACAAGCAGTGTGCTGGGAAGAATCTGGTGGTGATGTTGGGAAGGTTATTGCTGGTAGAATTCTTCTTGCAGTATGACAGTTTCAGTATTGAAGAGAAAACGCCTGTTCTTGGACCAGCCATTGCCATTAAGTCGTTGATCAAGGCCAAAAGCGTCTAATGCACTATCATGTCGAGTGATCATGTTTCTAAGGAGGTGTTTGGCAAGTATTTTCACAAATCGAAATAAACTTTTCTGCATATTTATTTCGTATACTGTAAAAGCACTTTTAAAATCATAATTTTGATTTTATCCAAACACCCTCTAGATTGAAGTGGTCGAGTTTATGAGATAATTGTAGGATCAAAGGGTTTTAATAAAGACAATCATTCAGATTGAGTTAAACTGCGGTATATTTGGAGCGATTCGGAACCTCTCCTCTTCCCTTTCCATTCTCTTCCCTCCTCTTCTTTTTTATAACCATTAGATTAACATATTTCAACGGTTTAGATTTTAATTTTTTATAAACTACTTATAAAAAATTTTTAAAAACATTTAGTGCATTTGCAAACTATTAGAATTAAATTTTAATATAGTTTGTAATTTATTATTTATTTATTTTAATAATTTACTATGTTAATAATAGTTTTAGAAAGATTTAAATCTGAACGTTAAAATATTAATCGAATGGTTAGATAAGGAAAAGGAGCAAAGAGGAGGGAAAGGAAAGAGGAGAGGTTCTAAGCTGATATTTGGAGCGGTCCATTATTTGGCCTTCAATTTGGGCGGTGGTTGTCACAGAAGAGAAAAATAATTGGGCGGTGGTTGACAAAATCCATAAATTAAAGGAATCACATACGTGGACCAACGTAACTTACTTAACATAATCCTCCTTTTTTGTTTGGCTGAAGTTACTTAACATAACCCTCACGAGTTCAAAAAGATTATAGCCCTTACACATGTTGGCCCAAATAAAGCCCACATAACAAGTACCGAACTATGGATATGAATTTCTTTTTAACGCTGGCTTTGAGAATTGGAAAAGTCTCCCATAAAAAAACTTGAAATTACTAAATTTTAACTAAGAAATTCATATCAAAATGTGTTGTTATTTTAACATTCAGTATCATTACTTATTAAAATATTTTTATTAGATTTAATTTGAGATTTAGTAATTTCAAGCTTCTTTTTAAAGATTTTCCTAGTTATACATTACAGATCACAAAGGTTGTGGGGTTGCAGGCTTCACCCATGTGCTAGGAATAGGATAGTGCAATGCTTTTGAAGCTGAAGAATGAACTGTTTCAGAAGGTGGTCCTGATAATTAGCTTGGGATTTTGGATTCAGAAAAATTATTTTGGAATCTGATTAAAAAATATTTAATGGGTATATGCTATTCGACGGACAAAACTCCAGTACATGTAACCTGATTTTTACCCACAGATTCAAAACATGATGAAGTGTATATAATACTCCTCCGATTCTTAATATAAGACCCATTTAACTAATTTGACTAGATTAAAGAAGTTAGGTAAGTTAGTTAATTATAAGAAAAGTGACATATTTTTTCTAAAATACCATAACCATCTTTCTTAATACCCCCTCTCCTTCTTCTACTTGATTATGGTTGAGAGAGTATCTATAAGGGTAATTTAGAGAAAATTGACAAATATGAGAAATGGGTCTTATATTTTGAACCAAAACCAATTCAAAAATCAGGTCCTATATTTAGGACCGGATGAGTAACTCGGAGCCGAATTTTAGCCATATTTCAAGAGACCAGAGCTGTGTTGCGGATACTTTAACCAAAGGATGATTTATCTATTCCTCACCTTTGGATTGTTGCCTCGTAGATTGTATGGATTTAATCCCCACTTAGAAAGTATTTGGTGAAACCCAGAAGCATTTTTAAAAAATACTTTCATGCAAGTCGAGACAAAACTCTTCTCACATACTTACTACGTATATTATAAAATTACTTTTAAAATTAGAGTTTTATTTTTTTCCAAACACCCTGTTAATATAGTGATTTAAATTTAGTCAGGCTTTAGCGCTCGTTGTACGAAAACACAACCTCCTCTCCCCCCTGGGGGGCCGGGGTGGTCATGTGTTGGACTGGTCCCCTTAATTCGAAAGTCAAAGGAACAACATATGACTGGATCCCACATTACATAATCCATACAAATTCAAAAGAGTGGCCCATGTTGGTTGAAGTCCTATAGCGGCAACCCGGTATATTTGGGCTCGTAATCGTGTCTTTGTGGGAGAGTAACGTAATTGTCCATTTTTCTCATGAGCTACCGTGACATGTATAATTCTATAGACGGGTAATATGTTCTTGACGAAGTTTGAGATTTATATTTTTGTCATTTCAATGGCCATATCAATATCTAATTCATTGAATTTTGAAGCGTTCTTTTGAACTAATAGCACGTATATGAACATTACCAAAAACTTAGGAAATCTGGACATTATTAATTACTCATCTGATCCTTAATATACGACTTATTTAACTAATTTGATTAAATTAAAAAAATTAGATTAGTTAGTTAATTATGAGAAATATGACATACTTTTACTAAAACACCATAATCATCTTCTTTAATGTCCTCTCTCCCTCTTTTACTTGATTATGGTTGAGGGAGTATCCACATGGGTAATTTGGAAAAAATTGATAAATATGATAAATACGTCTTATATTTGGGATCAAAATCAACTCAACAATTAGATTTTATATTAAAGACCGGAAGAGTATTACTTTCCCTCCATGGCAAGCAATGTTTTGACTCTCAAACTTTCTTTTAGGCCAAAGTTGCACTCTTAAACTATACCTTAGTTATATTTTTAATATTTGAATTTCAGCAAGTAATGCTTAATTACCTTTGAAATAATAAAAATTAAATCTATTATATCTATAGTTAAAATTAAAATTTTAAATCCACGTAATTTATCTGTCTCCTCCATATCATTCCCCAATTTTTTATTTAGCACGATGGGGAACATGAGGATCCAACAAAAATCATGTAATCTTTGGACGTTGATTTGCTCATAACATTTTTTTTTTAACAATTGGCTTATAATATTTTTACTTTACATAAAGGGATAAACTAATGATAAAAGTCTACATCATAAACCTGGAACATATACCTATTCTATAATTACACTTTTTTTTTTCCATAGCCACGTTTTTTCCCTGAGGATCTATAGCTGACATGATTTTTTGGGTTCATCCTTGTTTAGATTCCCACTCCATCATTTAGATCAATGAACGTTACTACGGCATTAATCAACTTATAATAATTCCCAACAATAAATGGCGAAGAGGCAAAAGCAGGTCGTGTGCATGCCAGAAATTTTTTTTTTTTTTGTAAGCCTCTGGTATCCTGAGCTAAGTCATCTTTTAGACATAATAATGGATTCAAACAAATCCGGATCGAAACATGACAAAAACTATTAAAGTTGGTGTCCTTGACCCTTAAGATGTTATATTCCCACGCCTCGAATTCGAGACCCGTTGTTAAGTTAGAACAACCCCAATTAGGTGATCTAATCATCGGTGTTCTAGAATTTTAATCTTCAAGTGTAATTGCGAATCAACATCTGAAAAGGACAAAATGAGAGAAAAATACTTATTGAATTTTAAAAAGATAAATAAGCCATGCTAATTATTTTTGTAATGGTTTTGACTATAATTATAATGGTTTACTACTCAAAATCTATTAAAATCATCTATTTGTCATTTTGAAATTTAACAGGTTTTTTCTTCGAAAGATATGTTAGTCAGATAAATTAAAAACAAGAAAAATTAAGATTTAATGCACCGGCATCAAATTTGAAGGGTATAAAACTACAATTATTTTCTTTTTTTGACACAGCTCGTATATACACGCATGTCAATGCTGAGTTTGAGTTAGAAATTTTCTCCAAGCGTGATGGATGATGTTGGCATATACGGGCAGGTATCTGTTGACATAAATATGAAAACAATTCCATAAAGCAACAAATACAAAGCGTGCACGCACAGATAAATAAATATATTTATATTTATATACATTTATATATATATGTATGGCTATGTCAGGCAAAAATATATATATATATATATTTATATATGTATGGCTATGGTTGCTGCTTGTCTAAGGGTATCCATTGCCAGAAAGTCGCACTGTTTATCTTTATCCAAATGGCGTCATTAGGGTGTAATCTTTTAGCTTTCACTATAATACACTGTTTATCATAGATTATTTGTTTAATTATTATACAACTAAGTTATAAATTACAAAATATCCATATTTTTAACTCGTCTATCTCACAAGGTAAAATTAAGATCATGAACAAAATTGTAGCGTTTGCAATGACAAATTCATCAGAGCTGATAAAGCAGAGAAAATAAAAAAGAGGACAAAATAACATCTAATATCCTAATATTATTTTCTAAATACGTGTATTTAGTACTGTAATGTGATTTTGTTGGTGTGCTTTAGCACCCTGATATTAATTTTTTATTACATAAAAATATAGTACTTTAATTTTGATTTAGGGAACTGAATGTATTATAAATAATATTAAGAAACTAGATGCATAATAAATAACTTGAAAAATAATGTCTTAGAAACTAATTTTAAAGCTAAAAAAAAAAGAACACAATTTTGTGATGTTGTCCTTTTATGTCAATAGCATAAAAAATCAAATCAACCATCGAGCTCCTTAAAATGAAAGTTCCTTGTGCCTATCCACGCGAAGGCAGTGTTACAGTAGAATTTTGCCTCTGCCAGTAAAAGCCCTCGTCCTAGCCAGCTTTTCTAGAAATCAACGCTTCATTTTTAGGACAATTTAATTGATATATATTACCTCTGATTTTTAATATAAAATATTATTTTCTTTTATTTAGTGTTAAATATAAGATTCTAATTCATTTTATTTATTATTTTATATTTTTTTTAAGATAGTCCTTCTAATAATGATATTTCTAGCCGATATACTTGATTGGTAAGAATATTTTATGAAACACAATACTTATTTATTACAAATAGCTAACTTAATTTCTTTTCTTAATCTTTTAAAATTATAACTCGTTCTTATAATTAGAACCGGAGATATTACATCATAACTGATTATTCATTCTTTTCTTCCAAGTGCATCTATCTTTCGAGTTTAAGGGTACGTTTGATACAAGAAAAATGAAACAGAGGCGAGGGGAACAAAATAAATTCGATTTAAAAATTAAAAAATAAGGTTAAAAATCTTTAATTAATTTTTATTTTATAATTTCTCTCTGTTAAAATTTTAAAATCCTATTTCTTTAATTTTTTAAATCAAACTTATTGAAATTTTTTTTTCCTTCTTTTCATT